ATTGGAGAAAATCAACCAGCCCCTCGCATCTGATATGCAGCTCCTAACCTGGCAAATGCTTTCTTTTCTGTCCCTATCAATAAAGAAAATAAGCAGTTTGCATTCAGGCAACAGGGACATCAGCAGACGTGTATGGCTGCCTGGATGATATCAACTCTCCCGCTGTCATAATCCAGAGAACTCATGATCTTCTCGATGACGTTACGCTGGTTGGATAACAAGCACCTGGGATGACACATGCTTACCAGAGGGTAGATGACAGACCCTGTGAAACTTTGGAAGCCTTCAGTGACGTTTTTAGGGATCCAATAGTCTGTGGTATGTTAGGACATCCTACTTAAAGTGAGGTAAGTTATAGCCTATGCCGCCCATTTCTAAGAGGCACAAAGCTTGATGGGACTCTGGATTTGGGGTACAACCTACACCACATCTGAGCCTGCTGCTCTGACCCACTGGGTGGGTAATGGTAGTGTTGGCAATAAGAGGCAGCAACACAAGCTACCTTGCCACTCAGGACTTGTTATGGATTGAACTGTGTCTCCCCAAAATATGTGCTGGAATCCTAACACCTATCCTTGTGGATATAATCCTGTTTGGAAATAGGATTTTCTTTGTCATGTTAATGAAGCCATGCCAGTATACAGGGTGTGTCCTAATCACATCTGACTTAACAAGAAGCAGCACAGACAGAGACAAGGAAGCACAAAGAGGGGAAGATAGGTGCCACATGAAGATCTCCAAGGAAGTGAGGAATGCAGGGGCTACAAAGCTGAGACAAGGATCTTCCCCCAGAGTCGAAGAGACAGCTTTCTGGAGCCGGTGCCCCTGAATTCGGACTTCTAGCCTCCTGAACTGTGAGAAAATAAATTTTTGTTCTCTAAAGTCACCCACCTGTGATATTTCTGTTATAGCAGCACTGGGTGCACGTGACCCAAGCCATGGTGTTTTCAGTCACCTCATATGCATGCGAAAGCTGGACAATGAATAAGCAAGACTGAAGAACTGATGGCTTTGAATTGTGGTGTTGGCGAAGATTACTGAATACACCGTGGACTGCCAAAAGAACAAACAAATCTGTCTTGGAAGACGTACAACCAGAATGCTCCTTAGAAGCAAGGATGGCAAGACTATGTCTTACATACGTTGGACACGTTGTCAGGAAAGATCAGTCCCTGGAGAAGGACATCATGTTTGGTAAAGTAGATGGACAGCAAAAAAGAGGAAGACCTTCAACGAGATGGACTGACACAGTGGCTGCAACAATGGGCTCAAGCATGACAACAATTATGAGGATGGCACAGGACCGGGCAGTGTTCCATTCTGTTGTTCACAGGGTCGCTATGAGTTGGAACCGACTTGATGGCATCTAACAACAACAGGAGACTGAGACAGGTCTCGTGACCCAGCAGGCCCAATGTTGCCTAAAACTGTCTGTGGCAGACAGAGATGCTCCGTGGAGCCTCTGGTGAGCACCAGTAGGAGACACACAGCACAGATCCCCTCGCGTTCTGGAGTAAGGCCATTCCCTCCTGTCAAAAACAGTTGTCCAGGGCCCTGCTGAATGTCTACCCACGATTCACCAGGTGACCAGGAGACCTGAACTGGGTGCCCCGCAGCATTCTAATGTGAGATCTAAGGGGCATATAGAAACCAAGTACAGTTGTATGACCGGGAGGCTCAAGTTCCTGTTTACCTGCCTCTTCTGTATTGCCACCTCTCCCACAACGACACCTGTGGCTTCATGAGGCGTTTCCTATTGGCTGTTGAGACAGGTGAGCAAAGTGCAGATTTGGCTTCTGGATGTATCTGTACAGTATGCTGGCATCGCCTGGCAGGGAAAGCTTCTGCACTAGAGCCCCACTCAGGTGGCCCTGGGAGAGTGAAGGAAGTCCCTGGGGGGCAGAACTCAGTGGTCCATCTGGCCCGAGACGTGGCTCTACAACGGGCAGCATCCAAGCGGTTATCCACTTGCCCAGACCCAAAAACAACAAGATGGGAACCTGAAAGCTTGCAGCCAAGGGGGTCTGGAAAAGAAGCAGTGGATGCACTCTTGGGATGGGCACAGAGTATGAGGATACCGTATCCCACAGAAATGCTGCATTCACCCCAAGGGGCATCCACTGTACTGAAGATGTATTGAAGATAGTCAGTACACAGGGGAATGCTGGATGTCCGCCTCTTCCCCAGCCACCCACTCCATGGCGGGTGACTACTCCATGGGCTCTGTGCAAAGTGACCATGGCAGCAGGGATGGAGGCTGTGTATGGATTCATCAACATGGACTTCCCCTGACCAAAACTGCCCTGGGTCTCGCCACTGCTCCAAGCCCAACCTGCCAACAGCAGAGGCCAAGGCAAATCCGCCAGCATGCCTCCATGGAAGGGTGGGGGTGAGTCAGCAACCTGGCGGCTGCCTGATCGCACTGGAGCCTTCCACCACGAAGGAGATGGTGGTTACCCGCCACGGGAAAAAGGGGGCCTATTGCAAATGTGGACTTCCATCCCTGCCTGAGATGTCCTTGCCAGCACCACCATTTTGGACTCCATATTCCTCGCTTCCATGTGTCTTTCAGTTTGTCATACTGTGGTGGCTTGTGTGTTGCTGGAAGCTTTGCCACCAGTATTTCAAATACCAGCAGGGTCACCCTTGGTGAACAGGTTTCAGTGGAGCTTCCAGACTAAGACAGATTAGGAAGAAGGACCTGGCAGTCTACTTCTGAAAAAATTGGCCAGTGAAAACCCTATGAATAGCATCAGAACATTGTCTGGTATGGTGCCAAAAAATGAGCCCCTCAGGTTGGAGCACTCAAAAGAATACTGGGGAAGAGCTGCCTCCTCAAAGTAGTCAACCTTAATGACGTGGATGGAGTCAAGCTTTCGGGACCTTCATTTGCTGATGTGGCACAACTCAAAATGAGAAGAAACAGCTGCAAACATCCATTAATAATCGGAACATGGAATGTACACAGTATGAATCTACGAAAATCAGAAATCATCAAAAATGAAATGCAATGTATACACATCGGTATTCTAGGCATTAGTGAGCTAAGACGGGCTGGTGTTGGCCATTTTGAATTGGACACTCACTTATTGCTATGGCACCCACACACATCACCTGCAAATCAAGAATCTATTTATCACCCAAGATGTATGGCATGGGGCTCATGCCATAGAATCTGCTGGCTCATACCAGTGTCCGTGGAAGCCCCTGGTTTGGCTGAATAGCAGGATGGACTCCTGATATCCAGCTGGGGACCACCACCTGAGGTTGGGCTACTACCTCCAGGATGACATGGACACTTTGAACACATGGGCTGTTTTGCTGAAAGCCAGGACACACGGGCCCAGAACCATCACACCCACCTGCCCACCTCTGGAGTTTCCGCCCTGTCCCCACAGCCTTGGGCTCAGTGGGTTTGACAGTCCTGGTATCCAAGGAAAGACCATATTCACCAGGGAACGAGTCCTGCCCCCATTTAACCGGAAACTGAGATGCCCCCCTCGCCACTGGGGGCTCCCTGAGCCGCAGAACCAGCAGGTGGAGAAGGGGCTATTTTACTGGCGAGGGTGACAGATCCCGATCACCATGGAGAAATAGGGCCACTGCTCCCCAACGGGGGCAGGGAAGGGGACACTTGGACCTCAGAGATGCTGCCATGGCTCCCTGTGCAGTCACCACAGCACGTCACAGAGACACAAAGGACAGGGCCCTGAGGGTGACAGTCTGGGCGCCCCACCAGGCACCAAACCCCGAGCCCTGAGGCGCCGACGGGGAAAGGGGAACAGGAAATGGGTGATGGCTTTGGATTCCAGGTGGAACTGTGATCAAGTTGACATCTCCCTCCCATGATATGGCAGCTGAGGGACCTGGCCCGCGTGTCACAAACACAGAGGAACATGAACTTTTCACTTAGACAGAAGAGCAGGTAGATGCGGAGAAGCAGATGGAATCACTGATGCCATCTCCCGCTGGCCCTTCCAGACGCACACTCCCCGTCCCCGGCTCTGAGCCACCTGATGACAACCTCCAAGGAAATGCGCAGGGTCCTGTGATGCCTCCATCTTCCAGATGGGGGAGTGTGGCCGGCAGAGTACACTGGAGGGGCAGAACACAAGGTGGTGGTCCCTATTACCCAGCTCCCATTCAGCAGGGCCCCACAGGCTGGCCGCACCCCTTCTTGTGGCTTCCCTGCGCTGCCTACATGTCTGTAAAAAGTCCCTTCGTTAACTCGCCTCCAGTCGTCCTTGTCTGAGCACGCCATCTGCTCCCTCCAGGCCCCAGACAGCCCGTGACGACCCAAGAGAGGTGAGAGAGACCACCGTGGACACTGCTGACCATTCCTGTCACTGGCCAGTCTGGGCCAGGCCACGAGGATGCTGCCCCCGGCCTTCTGCTGTGGCAGCTGCAGGAATAGCCCCAGCAGGGCCTCAGCACCCAGGCGCACGTCCTCCCTCTCGTGGCTCAACTCCCCACGCTGCAGGATAGGTCAGGAATGCTGGGCTCCAAGGGCCAAGTGGGGCCTGCCTCACCCAGTGGTGACATAGAGTCCAGCCTGACTGGCCAGGCTCCCCAGCCCTCTGTGATGTGACAGTTCTCCACAGGGGCTGCACATCGCAACAAGGAGCACGTGGTGGCCTCTGCCAGCAGCTCAGACCTGTCCTGGCTCAACAACTGTGTCCCACAGGTCAAAGGGGAGGCACCTGGGGGTCTGTGCGGGGAGCGGGCTCTGAGTGGGGGGCATCAGCTTTGCCCCAGCCAGGCCCTCACACTCCCTGGCTTCACCCTTGGGCGCTGACCCCTACGTCTGCCCCGTGTTCATCCGTGAAATCTGACCTCCAGACCAGTGTGTAGGAAAGGCACTTTACGTAGTAGGGGCAGGATGGGACAAACGGAGCTGCTGACTAACTGACCAGCTGACGGCTGCCCAGCCCATCCTGACTCCTGGTCTGCCCCAAGCTCAACAGTCAGTACAGGCTCACAAAATCACCTGGCAGCAGCCCTCATGGGACAGGTTCCTCCAGGTACCGCACAGGATCTGAGAAGGGGCCGGGCCGGGCCCAGTAGTCCACAGCCCGAACCCTGTAGGAGCCGGACACACTCGTGCCTGGGGAAACAAGGGTGCATGTGCATTCTTGAGTGTGCGCGCACCTGGATCCACCCAGGTCTCCAAAGCCCCCTCACCACCGCCTCCAGGCTTTGCAAGGCCCTGGGACCCCACCCACCCAGTGCTTCTCTGAATGGGGCAGCCCAGGCCAGGGTGTGGGTGGTGGGCTCACCTGGGCTGAACACAAAGAGGTTAAAGGTCGATGCCTTCCTGCTGACTGGGGTGTACACCTCACCCCCCTCAGAGAACTGGATCTCATACGTCCACAGACACCTGAAGAGAAGAGTCAGGACCAAGGCTGAGGTCGGGGTGGGTCCCTGAAGGCCTGGAGTGGCTGGCACAGGGGCCACCCAAGGCCTTACACCCTCCACCCCCCTTCCTGGACCCTCCCACACCCTGGGCACGCTCAGCGAGGACAACAGGCCAGACCGGTGGAGTGGAGGGGATCAGAGCCCGGCTGCTGCCGTCAAATGTCCCCTGTAGGTACCCCCACCCCAAATGAGAGCATGCCGTCATGGACTGATCTGCACTGTTGTGTACACACTGAGGGGCTGCACACGGGGCAGGAAGAATGCATGCAGGACAGGGAGGCGCACACAGGACGGGACTGTACGCAGGGGTGACGGAGATGCTGCACACAAGGCAGGAGAGATGCATGCAGGACGGGGGGTGCACGCAGGAGCGAGGCGGGTGCTGCACACAGGGCAGGAGGGATGCATGTAGGTGTAAGGGGCGGTGCTGCACATGGGGCAGGAGGGATGCAAGGAAGGGCAAGGGGCGATGCTGCACACGGGGCAGGAGGGATGCACACAGGGCGGGAGGAATGCACGGCGGGGCGAGGAGGATGCACGGCGGGGCGAGGAGGATGCACGGGCAGAGTGGAGGAACACTGCAGGACAGAGGTGCTGGGGACCAACGAGCAGCTACAGCATGGGGGCGGCGACCCCACTCACGCACTTGGAGCCCACGCGCTCATCTGACCAGACCAGAAGCAGCTGCCCGCGGGTCAACGGCAGCACCCGGAGCCGGGTCACCTGGGGAGGAGGACGCAGTGACAGGATGACGGTGGGGCGGAGTCGGGGCTGGGGGCAGGGTGAGCGAAGAGCGGCCACTTGCCTGGCCCGGGGGCTTCTCGGGGCGTGCGCACACGTGCAGAAGCAGCAAGGAGGGCAGCTGCAGCTCCGGGCGCAGCGTCAGGCGGCCGCCGGCGGGGAAGGGGCGCGGGGCCGCAGCCACAGGGTCCTGCGGGTGGCGGTGGTCCTCAGGGCCTTGCAGCGGGGTCTGGCGCCCCTCCCCCAGACCTCAGGAGCCATTCCACCCCGCCCCGGGCAGACCCCACCCCCGCCCGCGAACCTCGGCCGCGCGCATGCGCCGGAACTGCTCCGCCGAGGGGAAGACGGGGCGGCCTAGGCGCTGCCACTCGCCATGGGGGCTGCACAGCCGGTTGTCCAGGTAGAGTGTCACGTAGACAAGCCCTGCGGAGCAGGACGCTGGGGCCCACGCCTCGCCAGCCCCGCCCCTCCGCTCCCGGCCCCGCCCCCTCACCTCGCGGTCACGCCCCCTCGCGGCCACATCTGGAGCCGGAGCCCACAATGGCCAGAGCCCTGGTGCTCACCCGGGGCTGGGGGCACCCTGTGCAGCTGCAGGGTCACAGCGGCGCTACGGTTGGCGTGGGCACGAGTGTCGTCGCTCGCGTAGACCAGCACCGTGGCGCGCCAAGCGTCAGCGGGGCCCGAGGGGCTGTGGGCACTGGCCAGGACGCCCACCATGTGGTTGCTGTCCAGCATTCTCCCGGCCTGCACCACCTCCGCCCAGAGCTGCTTGCCGTCTGCGGGGGAAGCGAGGGAGAGGTCACCGCGCAGGGGTCGCCGCCCTCCCCCTTCTCCAGGCCTGGCTTCCCACTATTTGCACCCCTTTCTCTTGGTAAAGGGATCCCCAGCCACACCACAGTTTCTGCGGCCCACAGAGCTGGGGGGAACAGAGGGGCTTGAGTGGGCAGCCCCCAAAAAACAGGCACTGCTGGAAGCATACCCCCAAGCAGGACCAGTTCATGCTTCCGCCTCGCCTCAGGGCCCCACCTATCCACCCCCACCCACGGGAGGTCTTGGCCCCTAGCTGATCCTTCTTAGTTCTCATTCCACTCTAGGGACTGCATCGTCTGTTTCCGGTCTGGCTCAAGGCAGAGGACGCAATGCCGGGGCACAGGGCATGGCTCACCAGCAGGGCCAGCAGCCCCACGGGGGCGAGCTAGGACAAGTAGTGATGGGTGCACAGGTGCGGGGCTTACCGAGCAGAGCCAGCAGCCCCATGGCTGTCAGCACAGGCTTGCGCAGCAACTGCACGTGTGGTGGGCGCGTGTTGTTGACTTGGAAGCGGGCGGTGAGCGTGCGCTGTGAGAAGGGGTGCGGGTGGTAGCTCAGGAAGGCGTTGTCGTTGCTCAGGAGGACATAGCGGATGGAGGAGCTGGTGTTGGCGACCAGCAGGTTCTGGTGCTGCGCGATGACCTGTGGGTGTCGGGGGTGGCTGGGACCACGTGTGCCACAGCCACCTGCCCCCACACCAGCACCCCAGGAGGAAGGCTGCCTCTGGGGAGAAGCCCTACAAAACCCCGCAACTGATAACTGCGCAGGCGCAGGAGAAGCCCCAGGGCGGGGCAGCGCCCACCTTCACGACCATGGCTGCGTAGGTCACGTCGGCCCTCCACGGCTGCGGCAGGGACCAGCCCACCAGCGGGTCGGCCTCGTCGTTGTAGACTGGGGTGTCGGTGAACTTGGGGAAGAGCCGCCAGATCTGCTGCACAGTCTCCTGCTCCTGTTCCAGGATGTAGATGGAACTCCCCGCGCCCTGTGGACAGCAGCCCATGTCAGCACAGCCAGGGACAACTCACGTGACCTCGGCTGGTGGGGGGCGGGGGAGGTGGTCGCCGTTGGGGTCCCGGACGGAAGGACTAGCCCGCACCTTTTTGTGGAGCGCAATGTAGTCCAGGCGAACGCCCACCTCCCCCGTGAAGAAGTTAGTTCCGTTGTAGCAGTGCCCCAGGAGGCTCCAGCAGAGCGGCGAGTGGGGCGGGGGGTGAAAGGAGTCGCCGGGACCGCCCAGTCGCAGAGCTGGACTGGCCTCTCGCAGACCCTCGGAGCAGGCGTCGTAGTAGTTCAGGAATCCTGGGCAGGTGGGACCGCCGTGTCCACCACTGTGCACCTGAGGGACCAACGATGTGGCCCAGGCTCTGCTCCATCCCCGAGGGTGACCCCACTGTTCCCGATCCCCGACCTGGCTCCTGGGCCACCCCTTCCAGCCCGGTAGGACCCCAGGAAGCACTGCCTACCTTGCGTAGTCATAGACACGTTGTCAAAGTCATGGTGGTCTGGCTCGTTCCAGGTTTCAAAGTTCCACTTGGAAACGTGCTCCAGCCCGTATCTACCTGCAAAGGTGCCCCAGTGCCCTGGGTTTTGCCCGTGGGCCCCACGCAGAGTACGGAGGGCTGGCCCAGTCTAGGCCCCACCCCTGGGACGAAGAAGTGCTGAGCCTATATGGGGACTTCCAGGGAGGGGCGCCCATGGGTGAGGATCTGGATGTGAAGGAGTGTCTGATTCGAGATGCACCCCACCTCATCAGGAGGGCCCGACCCAGCGGGTCCAGACATGGCTGGATGAAGGGGGAGGAGAAAAAATTGCAGGTGTAGGGCAGGACAGCCTGCCCAGGCGCACCCCACCCAGCCCAGGGCCACGCCTGCCCACCAATGGGGCCGCGCCTGCCCACCAATGTATCTCCTGGCCAGGAGTGAGACCAGGTTCTTCCACTCGAACACCTGCTGTTTGTCCTCAAAGTCAGTGAAGCGTCCTGAGGGGCTGCCCATCAGCTCGAAACCTGTAACACAGTCACGGGGTAACCACCCCCTCCCCACTTCCTGGGATGCCAACACACCAGCACCGTGGCCAGTCCTGATCAGGCAACCAGTGAGGAGAGGGGGTCGGGGAGGCAGTGGGGTGGGTTCACGGGGAGAGGAGGGGCTGGGCAGGAGGTCAAGGCCCTGGCTGCTCACCTGGGAGGAGCTGGTTCTCCCTGAGAAGGTCCAGGTACCCGTCCAGGTTGGTGAAGTTGTAGCTCAGGCCCCGGCCAGCCATCCCCCTGTGGAAGCACACTCAGTGTGTGTGTGGGGGGTAGCGGAGGGTGTTGGTATGCTGGCTTGATGCTTCTCAGTTTCCCTGGGCTGGAACTGGGGCCACATCTAAGCAGGTAAGGAGTTTCTCCCTTTTGAAAACGCCAACTATGGACGCCTATCAGTCACTCACAGTCTAGTGTGAACTGGTACACGTATACATGGAATTGTCCCCAAGCCTTCAGGAGATCAGAGGTTTGGGGTGGGGGACTCAGAACAGCCTGGAGGCTCAGGGGTGACACCCTGCAGGCAGACACTGAGAGAAAGATGCCACAGACTTGGGGGGGGACAGGGCATCCTAAAGATAGCTGACCTGGGAGTGGGGGCCGTGGGATGGGCATCAAGCCGGACCCAAGGGACACTGCCCACTGCTTTTACTGTGTCTCCTGGAGGCTAGGGCCCCAAGTTTGGCCCAACAGTATCCCCACCCCCTCCCGCAGCATGGATGGGCAGGAAAGGGAGGAGAGGGGAACTCCCCATGCTGGACTTGGCCTGGCCAGGGCCTGGACCCAGCAGACAGCAGGATGGGCCTAGTCCCAGTTCTCATGAGACTCACGTTCCCGAGACAGGACAGATGTCACCAGACAACCATGTGAATCTATAAGAACACATCAGAGGAACCTCAAAAGAGATGTGACGGGGAGCAAAGGGGCAGAGGTGAGGCAGGCAGCCTCAGAGCCCAACCCTTGGAGGCAGCAGCCCCAACTGTTCCTTTCCTTGTGCTACAAAATAAAGGCCTCTTTCTGATCTTCCACCTTGGACTCTCGTTTATTGGCTGCTAACAAGTCATGTCGGGCAAAACCTGGGGTTTTCACCCAGCAACAGAGGGGCAAGGAGGAAGGTGTCTCCAAGGAGGTGACATCTGAGACCTGCTGAATGACGGGACAAGCCAGCCATGAGGATGTCTGGGGGAAAGAGCAGGGACAGCACATGCAAAGGCCCTGAGGTAGGAATGAGCTTGCAGTTTTCAAGCCCCAGAAAGGCAGCCAGTGGGCCTGGGGCAGAGTATGGGTGCAGTCCTCCGTAATGAGGTCACATGGGACCTTGTAACCATGGTGAGAGCAGAACTTTTGACTCTGGGCAAAACGGGGTTCCAATCAGAGTGGCACCATGACATTCTGAGAGGATCCCTCTGACGTCTGAGTGGAGCAAGAGCAGGAGCTGCGATACAGCTAGGGGGCCACAGTGGTCACCCAGGGAGAGGTTCGGTGTCTGGGCTGGGGTGCTGGCCATGGAGACGGTGAGAAGTAATGGAACCAGTGGACTTACAGGTAGAGGCGACATGAGCTGAAGAAGGGAGTCTAGCACCACTCCACAGATGTGGGCTTGAGCAGCTGGGTGGATGGGGTGCAGATGGCCGATGCAAGTGAGGAGATGCTTGGGGTAAGATGAGGGCTGGGCTTTGTTCATGTGGAGCTGGACATCCCAGTACAGAAGCTGTGTTGGTAGCTGAAGGAATGAACCTGGTGCTCAGGGGTCTGGGGCCTGAGGACTGTGTTTCACATCCCAAGGCATGGGTGGGGAGGGGGATGGAGGAGAGAAGGGGACCAAGGGCTGAGACTGGCGAGGGGGCATGGTGGCTCATTGAAGATCACAGACAGGTGTGTCCGTGGGAGTCTGAGGGTGTTCCCCTTGAGGACACACCCGGACCTCCATGTGTGAAATGAGGAGAGGTGGTGGAGGGGAGGGCTGGGGGAGCCTCGGATCTGAGGAAAGGAGAAAGCCTGAACCGTGCCCACAGACAATGTGGGAGATCGTGGGTGTCGGCTACCAGGTGGGGCAGGTGGACAGCTGGGCTTGTCATGTGTGTGCCATGGTGGGGGAGAGGTCCCAATGATGGTCGGCCTGTCTGCATACCCCATGTCGCAGCCCCTCCAGCGCAGAGGCCTCCCCCTGGACATGCGGCAAGTCTCCACAACTCAACACTTCACTCCTCACTCGTGTCTGGTCGTCCTCCCTCACTGTTCAGTCTTGAGCCCAGCATTCAATGCTGCCCTGGGGGCCCAGGTCGAGCCACCACAGCCCCCAGGCACCAGTTCCTCCTGCTCCTGCCCTCGGTTTGCCCTCGCTGTCCCTCTGCCCAGGGCTGGTCTTCCTGACCCCAGGGTCAGCTAGCACTAGCCCGGGGCAGCAGAAGGTCCACAACCCTCCACTGGCACCCACTACCTCCCCATGCTCCCTCCCTTGTCAATCCAAAGGTCACAACCAGTAGCAAAAAACAAAAAAACATGACTAGCATTTGGATAAACATTAAATGGGCACCGGAAAGGTTCCGAAGTCCCGGGCCCTAGAGTGATAACCCTGGCCTGTGCCGGACACAGGTGTCGCAGTGGAGCCACCATCGGAAGGCGCCTATAGGCCAGAGGCGTCCTCAACTTGCCACTCCAGGTGGACTTGGGTGTCCCCCGCCCAGTGCCAGGAGACACACCACCCAGGGGCATGCCGAGGCCAAGGAACCCCGGAGCGCGGTCCTTGGGCCCCCTATACTGCATCTCGGTCCCCAACTGACCCTGTCACGGGGGACTGGAGAGACTCGACCGAGGGCGGTGGAGGAAGGGAGGGGCTGCGCTGGTGAAAGGCGGTGAGCGGCCCCGCCCAGGTCAGGGAGGCTCAGTGTCCCGGACCCCGCCGCCCCCGAGGGCTAGGCCGCCTCCCGTCCGCGGCTGGCAGGCACGTGGGCCCGGTACAACAGGCTTATTCACCGCGCAGCCGGCCACTCCGCTGCACTGCGCCCCGCCCCGCCCCCTGCTCCCTGCCTGGGCGCATGCGCCTCCAGGACCGTGCCCACCTGCCCACCGCCGCCGGGTGCCGGGCCGGGTGAGTGGCGGGTGGGCGGGGGCAGACAAGGCCTAGAGGCGAGTGTGCTCGATGATGGGGGAGTAGGCGGAGGCCGCGCGCGCGGGCTGGGGGTGGAGGGGAGCCAGCACTGCGCACGCTGCGGGGAAGAGCGCCTGAGGTGGGGCGCGCGTGCCCAGGGCAGGGTCCGCGGTGGAGGGCGGGGGGGCGGCGGGGCCAGGGCCGCGCGTGCTGGAGGGTTTGCTTAGACTGGGGGGCCAGGGCTGCACTACTGCGGGGAGGGAGCCGGGTCTGCCCGAAGCGGGGTGGACGGGACCGCGCATGCTGCGGGCGTACACGGGGCAGGGGCCAGCGGACACCGATCCGTCGTTTGAGAGAATCTGAAGCCCGGGCCCTCGGTCCAGCCCCACACGCTCTTGGGCCTCTTGGGAGCTGTCTCATATGGAAACACCCACGTGGCGGCGGGTCTTTGGGGAAGAACTGAGATCTGACCTCAGAGCCCTGAAGTTGAAATGAGCTTGTCATTGGGGTCTCTTCCCGTACTGCAGGGACAGTGTTTCCTTTCCAAACAAATACACTCAGCTGTAAAGGAGCTGATGTCAAGAAAACCATTAATAGCTATGAGGCACAGGACAGGAGGCTGTTGTGAGGATGGTCCCAGCTGGTGGAAGGCACTGGGGTCCCCACGGTCCCCTGCCAGCCAGCCCCACTGGGCAGGGGAGTGAGTGAAGTCCGGATGGAGCCTGGATGAGGGGAACATGGGCCTCCCCATCCTCTCCAGCCAGCAAGCTCTGGGTACCCCTAGACACTCTGCCTGTGTGCCTGGCCAGGCAGCAGACGACCGCCTCCATACACAGCAGGGAAAGTGATGCAGAGGGCCACTGCAGCTCAGGGGGATTGAGGCCCTATGGGTCCTATGACTCTCTCACAGGGCCGGTGTGACCCAATTCCATTTCCTCACCTGCCTTAGACACCAGGGGGCAGGGGGGAGTAAGGCCCAGTCCCTGCCACTGAGGATAACCAAGGCGGGGACACCATGGTGCACCCAGGCACCCCCGGTGCAGCTGAGGATGGTGGTGGGTGGGGGAAGGACCGCACATACAGAATGGGCTCCACCTGAAATACCCCCGCCTGCCTAAAATCCCAAGCCCAGGACCCTCCTGAACCCTCTACCCCGTCCCTGTGGGCCAGGCCTGTGGGTCCTGCTTCCTGAAAGGGGGGAGGCCACTTCTCCCACTAAGTTTTTCTGTCCCCCCAGCTGACCACCCCCATGCTGACTTGTACCAGCGCCTCAGCCCACATCACTGCCCTGGTACAGTGCACGTGTATGTCCCCTCGCAGCAAAGCTGGAGGACCTGGCCAACCCTCCTTCCAGGAGCCACCCCAGAGGGAGCAGGCCCAGCCCCAGGGGGTTGGTGGTGAGGCCCTGGCCTGGCAGCCCCAGCTCCGCCACAGGAGCCCTGGGCATTTCTCCCACTGCCCCTCGCCGGTAGCTGGGCCGGGAGATAAGCACGTATGGCCTCTCGGCAGCTGCCCCTCGAGGTGCAGCCCTCCCCTCCCCACCTAAGGATCCCATTATCTGCACCAGGGATGGGCCTGAGGCCCTGAACCAGGTGACTCACCCACCCACTGGCAAACGGCTTCCAAGACCACAGCTCCCAACCGCTACTCATGAGCAAACAGCTTCCCTCACCAGGGCCCAGCTGAGGGACACAGGGGAAGAAGCCCCAGGCCCTGTCCTGAGGGGCGGAGGTGTTCAGCCTCTGGAAGATGAGGGGCATGCAGGGCAGGGAGAGAGCCCTGGGGCTGAGGGGATGCGGGGCCAGGCTGGGAGCAGTACCCTGTCCTGGGAGAATGGAGCCCCAGGGCCACAGGGGTCTCCAAAGGACCCTCAGCCAGGATCTTAATTCCCCTTTAAGGACCTATCAGCTCCTCCGGGGAACAGGAAAATTAGGGGCTTGTGGCCTACTGTCCCCAGGCCTGAGTCACACTGCTGAGGTGCCCAGGGCCCCCAGGAACAGCAGGCCCAGGTCAGCTGAGGTGGTCCAGCCTCTCGGCCTCCCCTGGGGATTATGCATTATTCCCACATAAGCCTTAAGCACCCAGTGACGTGGGTTTTATCTTCATTTCTTCATTTCAAAGATGGGTGACCTGAGGCTCTGAATAATATTTTTTAAAACACCAGCTCACCCTCAACACTAAACCAAAAAAACAAACCCGTTGGCATCGAGTTGATTCCAACGCAGAGTGATTCCACAGGACAGAGTAGAAGTGCCCCATAGGGTGTCCAAGGAGCGGCTGGTGGATTCGAACTGCCGACCTTTTTGGTTAGCAGCGAAGCTCTTAACCACTGTGCCACCAGGGCCATCAAATTGGCTCCAATTCATGGCGACCCTACATGTGTCGCAGTGGAACTGTGCTCCATAGCATTTTCAGTGGCTGGTTTTTCAGAAGTAGATCACCAGGCCTTTCTTCCGAGGCACCTCTGGGTGGACTCAAACCTCCAACCTCTCAGTTAGCAGCCGAGCGCGTTAACTGCACCACCCAGGGACGCCAGCTTACCCTTAGCACTTACTATATGCCGGGCACTGTCCTGAGCATTTTGGGGGTACTAGTTTAATTCATTTAAAGGGGTAAATTCATCTTCACACCAGCCCTTCGAGACAGGCAACGCCAGTCCCCTCTGCTGTGCAATCCAGTCATGGCGGGTCAGTGCTGTGCTGGAATCTAGACGGTTGGTCAGGCTCCAGAGGGCCTGGTCTCCCCCACCCCCCACAGCAGGAAGGGCACACCTGACTGGTGATGTCATCTGGATGCCCGGCAGGCCCCCAGCCCGTGGAGGGAATGCCAGCCGAACCCTGGGCACGTGCATAGACACACACACCCCTGCCAGCAGCCCCATGCCTGCTTTCCACTGGAGGACACAGAACAGAGGCCCAGGATGGGGCCTGGCTCCGCCATGTGCCCTGCACTCCAGCCGTGGACTAGAACAGGGGAGATGCTGAGGGACTGGCGAGGCCACTCCACTTGTCCCCAGAGCTAAAGGGTGCACATGTTGCCCATCTTCAGCCCAGGACCGGCCCAGCTGCGGCACCTTCCACCTCCACTCCACAAGGGGCCGAAACCCCCAAGCATCCTGCTCGGGCCACTCACTGCCTACCCGCCTGTGCCGGCCTGCAGAGGCATAGCCGCTATACCTGCAGCCCATGCAGGGTGGCCCTGAAGCTTATCAAAGGCTCCCACCACTGTTCTTGCTGTGAGCCTCTGATTACAGAACAACCCGCCGGATTAGCCACAGGTAACACTTGTCTGAGGAAACATGTGACTCAGCAATCTCTGGAGTAAATAATTTAACTGCAGGCCCAGCACAACTGCGCAGTCAGTCCAAACCACAGAGCGCGGCTGCCTGGCTCCCTGCTTGACCCCAGAAGCCAGAGGGTCCCGGGCGTTGGGCTGGCCAGCACAGCCCGAGCAGACCCCAGCCTTGGGTGCACAGCAGGGCCGGGCCCCCACTGTCCTGCCGCCCACCCAACCCTCGGGTGGCTGCCTTAGGTAAGAACCATCTGGGGTCCCTGCTGGGGTCGACTCTCCCTGGCAGAGGCCAGCTCACTGGGCAGAAAGAGGCTGACACCGAGCGTGGGGGCAACTTTGGGCAGGATGTTGTGAACAGAAAATGCTCCCAATTCCGGGGCTTCTCAGGGGCCAGAAGTCTGAGTGGGAAAGGAGTTTGGGGACCCTCAGGTCCAAGGCAGGTGGCACTTAGCAGTCCTCATTCCATACAACCCAACCTCCAGGGACTGAGCGTGAGCTTGAAGGTGGCCAGGGACCCCCGAGTGGGTGAGATCTTTGAGGCGATTTTGTGGAGAAAGGGAAAACGCCTCTCAGTAGGGCCAGGACTCGCCACGCTAGCCCACCCGCTGCCCACCAGGCCAGGGATCACCGTCCTCCATTCCCGAGGACGCTGGCCATGCTTCCCCATGTCCCGGGCCGGCACAAAAACAGCGCACTCAGCACTGGTATCTGGGCATCCTGGGCTCTAAGGAGGCAGAGTTTTTGCTTCATGAAAGACGCTTTTAAAAGCTGAAGTTCATAGTTGCTCCTTGCCAAGCAGCTGACAACAGTGCATGTAAAGACAGCCATCTGTGCGCTACCTATTCTGATTTGGGCCTGTGAATGCCACCTCCATGACACCACCCGCTGACCTGTTCTCTGGAGCTAGGGCAAAGTCAGGAGACTTCCCCTCCACGGGTCAGTCCGGACCAGCTGTCTGCAGAGGGCTGGCCCCAGAGGGGCACAGCGGACACAGCCTGGCACATGTATTCAGCAAGTGGCTTATGCTGTTTGGGGCGAGCTCCTGAACGTTACCAACCTCCGAGACCCATGAGTGCGTCCTTGGGGAAAAACCGACTGGGCAGGAGGGGCAACCGCCATGCACCCACGTCCCTTCCATGTTGGCCCTGGGCCGGGGACACTCCTCCCAAGGCGTGTGCTAGAAATCCTGCACAAGGACCAGGCAGGGGGAACGGCCCTGGTGTCCAAGCACCCCACTCCCAGGCATGGATTTGGGGCCAGGCAGGCCCTCTTCCTCTGAGCCCCGCTCCCGGCACCAGGGCCTGCGGTGGTAGAGCAGATGGAGCCGTGGAGCTGGAGCCAGAGGGACAAGTTAGAGATGCTCACGGTTTGAATGGGAGAGGGGGTCTCTGGTGTGGGAGTCACGAGGGCAGCAGGGGCCTTCGCTGAGCTGGGGAACTGAACGGGGGAGCAGTAGGGAGCTCAGCTCTGGGCACGCACGGGCCTGATCTCTGGGACGGTCTGGGACCCTAAATCCTGTATGTGTGGATGATAACAGCCCATTATGTTCCCTCTCTCAGAAAAACCCATAGCCGTAGCCAGCGAGTCAATTCCAACTCATAGCGACCCTGTAGAACAGAGCAGAACTGCCCCAGAGGGTTTCAGAGGCTGTAATCTGCACGGAAGCAGACGGCCACACTTTTCTCTTACGGAGCGGCCGGTGGGTTCCAACTGAACTTTCGACTAGCGGCCAAGTGTTTAACCACCGCGCCACCAGCACTCCTCCCTTCTCACAAAAAACCCAAAACCCGCTGCTGTCAAGTCGATTCCGACTCATGGTGAGCCTGTGGGACAGAGCAGAACCGCCCCATAGCGTTTCCAAGGAGCAGCTGGTGAATTCGAACTGCCAGCGTTCTGGTTAGCAGCCGAGCTCTTAACCACTGCGCCACCAGGCCTCCCTCCTTCTCATGTGAGGTGGCATTTCAGGCAAGTGGCAGGAGCTGCTGCACCGAGTTGGGGGACTGGGCCTGGGAGGAGCGTCTTCTGGGGCCATCACCTACCTGCACTGACCTCAGCACACTCAGAGATACATGGCTTCCTGCTGTCACAATTACATTTCACCCCACAGACTAAGCATCTTGAAGGGACGCCTGACGACACCTGTGCTGGCTACCAGGTGGATGGGGCATCGTCCACTCTGGGCAACAGATCTGTGGCCCCCACTGATGAGATGAGAGGGGGCCCAGCGTCCAGTCCCCACCTCAGTCCTCCTGGCTCCTGGGAGCAGGGGACCTCTGACCTCTGCCCTGGGATGTGTGAGCAGGGCTGCCCCAGCCTGGGCCTTCCTCATTTGCACTTGCCTTCCTTGGCACAGGGCCTGCGCCCATGCCCTCCCCAGCCATGATGTCCACTTCTCCACTGCAGGTTGGCTCCAAGGGGCCTGGCGCCAAGGATGGAAGCGTCCCCCGAGTGTGCACAGCAGGATGGGGGGCTGGTGCTGGTCCGCCGGCAGCCCCCAGCCCCCCAGAGCCTGTGCAAGACGCTGAAGAGCCGGCTGCAGAAAAGCTGCACGTGCCACAGGCGGCAGGCCTGGGTGCTAGTGCAGGATCTGGTGCCTGCAACGCGCTGGCTGCCCCAGTACCGCCTGTGGGAGGACCTGCCAGGCGACGTCATGTCCGGGCTGGTCATCGGCATCATCCTGGTGCCGCAGGCCATTGCCTACTCGCTGCTGGCTGGGCTGCAACCCCTCTACAGCCTCTACACGTCCTTCTTCGCCAACCTCATCTACTTCCTCCTGGGCACCTCCCGCCACGTGTCCGTGGGCATCTTCAGCCTGCTCTGCCTCATGGTGGGCCAGGTGGTGGACCGCGAGCTCCAGCTGGCTGGCTTAGACACCGCCCAGGACGGGCCAGGGCTGGGAGCCAACGACAGCGCACTCAACGCCTCAGCCACCTGGCTAGCGCTTGGGCCTCAGGACTGTGGGAGGGACTGCTACGCCATCCGCGTGGCCACCGCCCTCACGCTGGTGGCTGGGATTTACCAGGTGAGGAGCTGGCCGGGGGGGTGGGACAGGATGCACCCCCAGGGGCACTCACAGACCGCGCAGCAAGGAGATCCCAGGAGGAGGCACCAGGTCGGAGTCAGAAACAGGTTGGCCCAGCCTTAGGGTCGGGCCATGAAGGAAGGTGGTATTTAAACAGGAAGGAGAGACCAGCAAGGGCACAGGTGTGGAGGTGGGACAAGCAGGGGCATCCCAAGGTCAGGCATCAGACACCCTGAGGGTGCCACAGGGCTGGGGCGGGGGGAGCCCAACCCTGGCCAGCTCAGCCTGGGCAGGGACAAACGGGCAGAGCGTGGCCACTGGCTCCAGATGTGACCAACTTTGGCTCTCATGGCCTCGCTGTCCTTCCTGTGGCCCCCCACGCCAGGGTCCTCACGTGTCCTAGGCCTGCCGCCCCCAGACTCCAAAATGCCTTCCCAGCCCAACCCCACTCCCCCGCAGCTGCCAGGAAAGATAAGCAGGGTGAGAGCCTACCCCAGGGGGGCTGATGCGGGGGTGGGGGTGGGGTCCAGAGAATTAGAGGACCACCATCTAATCCCCAAGGAGCCCTGGTGGCACAGTGGTTAAAGCGCTCAGCTGCCAACCCGAAGGTCGGTGGTTAAAACCCACCAGCCAGTCTGCAGGAGAAAGACGTGGCAGTCTACTTCCGTAAAGATTACCGTCTTGGAAACCTATGAGGCAGTCCTACTCTGTCCTACAGGGTCGCTATGAGCTGCAATCCACTCGACGGCAACAGGGGATCTCATCCCCAGAGCCCAGAGGCCCCATTTCTGAAACAAAAGTGGTTCCCGTGCTTGGAGAGTGGGAGAGGGGAGTCCTGTGACTGACCACATCCATGTACTACACACGTGCGCCCCGAGCTCCCACGAGACACGTGCACCATGAGGGGTCTCTACAGGCACGCAAGTGTGCAGAGGTGTGGGTGAAGCTCCCCGCCATGTCCAACTGGGGAACTAAAGCAGCCGCAGTGGTGAGAGGTCGGGCTCTGTGCTGCGGCCAACCCCCAGCTCGGGGCCGCCTCGGGCGCCTGGGGGGCCTGGTCCCCTGAGCACACTCTGTCCACAGGTCCTCATGGGCGTCCTCCGGCTGGGCTTCATGTCCACCTACCTCTCACCACCACTGCTCGACGGCTTTGCCATGGGGGCCTCAGTGACCATCCTGACCTCGCAGCTGAAGCACCTGCTGGGCGTGCGGGTCCCGCGGCACCAAGGGCCTGGGATGGTGCTGAGCACGTGGCTGAGTCTGCTGCGCAGCGCCAGCCAGGCCAACGTGTGCGACGTAGTCACCAGTGCCGTGTGCCTGGCCGTGCTGCTGGCTGCCAAGGAGCTCTCGGACCGCTACCGGCACCACCTGAAGGTGCCGCTGCCCGTGGAGCTAGTGGTCATTGTGGTGGCCACGCTGGTGTCCCACTTCGGGCAGTTCCACGAGCGGTTCGGCTCCAGCGTGGCCGGCCACATCCCCACTGGCTTCCTGGCCCCGCGGGTGCCCGACCCTGAGCTGATGTGGCGCGTGGCGCGGGACGCTGTGTCTCTGGCCCTCGTGGGCTCTGCTTTCTCCATCTCACTGGCGGAGATGTTTGCCCGGAGCCATAGCTACTCTGTCCGTGCCAACCAGGAGCTCCTGGCCACCGGCTGCTGCAACCTGGTGCCTGCCTTCTTCCACTGCTTCGCTACCAGTGCCACCCTGACCAAGAGCCTGGTGAAGACGGCCACAGGCTGCCGCACGCAGGTGTCCAGCCTGGTCAGCGCCGCCGTGGTGCTGCTGGTGTTGCTGGCGCTGGCGCCGCTCTTCCGGGACCTGCAGAGGTGTGTGCTGGCCTGCGTCATCGTCGTCAGCCTGCGTGGGGCCCTGCGCAAGGTGGGCGACCTCCCGCAGCTGTGGCGGCTCAGCCAAGCCGATGCACTGGTCTGGGTGGCCACTGCAGCCACCTGTGTGCTGGTCAGCGTCGAGGCTGGGCTGCTGGCCGGTGTGCTCCTCTCGCTGCTTAGCCTGGTGGGCCGCACGCAGCGCCCGCACGCCGTCCTGCTTGCCCGCATCGGCGGCTCCGCCTTCTACGAGGACGCCATGGAGTTCGAGGGCCTCCTCCCTGAGCCAGGGGTGCAGGTCTTCCGTTTCGCGGGCCCACTCTACTATGCCAACAAAGACTTCTTCCTGCGGTCGCTCTACAGCCTCACGGGACTGGATGCGGGGCACGCAGCTGCCAGGAGGCGGGGGCTGGAGGCGGGAGCCCACAAGGGGGATGGTGGCAGCAAGGACCTGGGCCCAGCGGGCACCACGTCCGCACTGGTCCTCTCGGCGGCCAGCTTCCACACAGTGGTCATTGACTGCGCCCCGCTGCTATTCCTGGATGTGGCCGGCCTGGCCGCGCTGCAGGGCCTGCGCCAAGACTACGAGACCCTGGGCATTGCCCTGTTGCTCGCCTGCTGCAGCCCGTCGGTGAGAGACACGCTGAGACGAGGGGGCTTCCTGGGCGAGGAAGAGGGGGACACGGCCGAGGAGGAGCAGTTATTCCACAGCGTGCACAGCGCCGTGCAGGCGGCCCGAGCCCGCCACAGGGAGCTGGAGGCTGCCGACTCCTCGCTCTAGCAAGGTCAGCACCTGCGGGCCATCACCACGCCCACGTGGGAGCCCACAGCAGACGTCCTCAAATGATCGCCACATTCCTTCCCAGAGAGCAATGCCCGTGGCTGCCATCAGCCACCAGACCCCCCCCCCCCCCCCGTGCCATACCCGCCCTAAGAAACCAGGGAATTCTGGGGGGAATGGGGACAGACGGCACTTTTAACACCCACAAGGACCGCAGACACTCGGGGCTCCAAGAATCACTGCCTTCGACACAAATGCTGCCCTGGCTGCCACGCTGGGCCCTAATCCCTGGCCTCCAGAGCCCCAACTCAGAAGAGCCACATCAGTCCCGGTCTTAAAAGTTTTAATCATGTTTGAACAGAGGCCCTACATCTCATTTTGCACCAACTAAAACCAAGTATCATCGCCTGTTTCAACTCAAGGCAACACCATGTGTCTCAGAGTAGGGTTTTCAGTGGCTGAGTTTTTGGAAGTAGATCGATCACCAGACCTTTCTTCCGAGGCGCCTCTGCATGGTCTCAAACCTCCAACCTTTTGGTTTGCAGCCAAGTGTGATGGTTAATGCCCTTGAACACCCAGGGACTCCTCGTTTTGCACATGGCCCCACAAATCACACAGCCTCCAAGGTGCCGTAGAAAACAGAAGTCCTCACAACTGGACCAGTAAGGAGCATCACGATAAATGGAGGAAAAGACTGAAGTTGTCAAGGATTTCATTTTACTTGGATCAACAATAACACCCGCGAAAGCAGCAGTCAAGAAATTAAATGACGAATTGCACTGGGCAAATCTGCTGCAAAAGACCTCTTTAAAGTGTTGAAAAGCCAAGATGTCACCTTGAAGACTAAGCCGTGGTGTTTTCAATCGCTTCAGATGCGTGTGAAAGCCGGACAATGAATAAGGAAGACCGAAGAACTGACATCTTTCAATTATGGTGTTGGCAAAGAATACTGAATATCCCATGGACTGCCAGAAGAACAAATAAGTCTGTCTTGGAAGAAGTACAGCCAGAATGCTCCTTAGAAGCGAGGATGGCGAGACTTCGTCTCACATACTCTGGACATGTGATCAGGAGGGACCAGTTCCTGGACATCACGCTTGGTAAAGCAGAGGGTCAGCAGAAAAAGAGGAAGACCCTCAATGAGACGGACTGACACAGTGGCTGCAACAATGGGCTCAAGCATAACAACAATTGTGAGAATGGCACAAGACTGGGCAGTGTTTCGTTCCGTTGTACATAGGGTCACTGTGAGTCAGAACTGACTCGACGGCACCTAACAACAACAAACCAAGTACCATCATGTCAATTCTGACTCATGGCAACACCATGTGTGTCACAGTAGGGTTTTCAGTGGCTTTGAGCTTTTGGAAGTAGATCACCAGGCCTTTCTTCCGAGGTGCCTCTGGATGGTCTCAAACCTCCAACCTTTCGATTGCAGCCAAGTGTGATGGTTAATGCCCTTGAACACCGAGGGACTCCTCGTTTTGCACACGGTCCCACAAATCATGCAGCCTCCAGAGTACAGAAACCCCACTGTCTCAGCCTGCCCAGCCTCTGCCCCACCTTAGGTAAAAGCTGGGGACTCTGGTCCAGGGCCTCAAGGTCTCTGGTCCAGGGCCTCAAGGTCTCTGTGTCTCTGGAAACCCCATCCCCTACACACACACCCAAGTGCTCCTTACATGTGATGCCTCAGCCCAGGCTGGGCCTCATGGTGCCACTACCTGCTCCAGGGCAGGCTGTCCAGTGTCAGAGCCAAAAGCAGGTGGGACCAGCACACACCTTAGCCCACCCCGCAGGCACAGCGTCCTGGCACAGCCAGGCCCATGAATACACACAACACAGGCTACATGGGGGTACAAACACACAGAAGCTGGGGTACAGCGCAGAGCCAGGTACAACAGACCACCACCCTGATCCTGAGTCTCCGGAGGGAAGCCAGGTGGACTAGCCACAAAGGTGGCTATGCAGGGTCCAGGTGCTGCCCCCCAGACCCCCCAGGAAGGCAGCCAGTGAGGGTACCCTCCCACCTCGACAGGCCCCTTTGATGAGAAATGCAGGGGTCAGGAGCAGTAGCGCCTCCTCAGAGGGAGGCACCCGCCCTGTGCCCCAACTTTAGTGCCCCCCCAGCTCCTCACTCTTCCCCATACCCCGGTCCACCATGAGGCCAGCAGGCTTCCCCTCCCACTTCACTTCCAGGACAGACCACTGGCCAGTCCCACCTCTTCTCTCAGCCTCAATCTTCATCTCTGTAAAGTGGGGCTCTTGCCAGCTCCCCCCACCATCACCCACCTGGCCGTGACGAGGTCCAGGAGCCAGTGGGTCCGGACCTGCTTGATGCCCCCGTGAGGGACGGCACCCACGTAGGCAAGGTTGAGCTGCTGGTCCCAGCTGAGGTCGTACTGGTCAGCCCGGTTATGTGGCAGAGGAGGGCTAGGGGCAGGAACAAGGGCAGTGACTGCGTTAGTTCTGAGCCCTCAGGCAGCCACTAATAAAATGACACTTCACGCCCGGAATGTTCTCAAGTCTCATGTTTATGGATGGGGTTCACGGAGGACCACGTCCCAAACCTGCTCCTTGCCCCGCCAGCTAGAAGCCTGCCGTGGAGGTGGCTGGGGCCACACAGGGACTGGGGACAGGTCCCACTCCCGTACACGCCCCTGGCTGCATGGGGGTTGAGGCCTGCCCCCATGTGTGGGTCCTGGTCCACTGCAAAATGCAGTGTCCTGCGCTCACCTCCCTTGAACCAGCTGGAACAAATAAGGCCTTCGTCCTAGGCTGCCCCTGTGGCCACTGGGCTCTTCAGACTCCCGGAGGCCCCCGACCCGGAGCAAGCTCAGGGCCTGGCCTCAGACCTCTACCACACGGGGGAACTCATCAAGTAGAAGACCCCCCCCAACCCAAACACCCTACGGGGTCCAGAGGACGGAAACGAGACCCCTAGTCTGACTGAGAGTGGCTCTCCAGAGGAAGGCGTGAGAGTGGAACTGGCTGGGTGGCCTTTCCGGGCTCCAAGGCGGCAGGTTCATTCCTGGACACTGGGTTTCGGAGCACCGACTGTGCGCTACGGGCGCAGGGGTCCGGAGACAGAGCGGCCCCAGTTTCCGAAGGGCGCGAGGCCGGGAAATGGGCGGTGGGCAGCTCTGGCCTCAGTTTCCCCGCAGGCGCTCACCAGAAGCCAGTGCTCCTCCAGAAGTGCCGCAGGGGCCGCAGCGCTCGGGCCGCATCCACGCGCACCAGGAGCGGGTCCTCGGCGAGGGCCGCGTGGGGCGCGGCCAGCAGCGCTGCCAGGAGTACGAGCAGCGCGGCGGGGGAGTAAGGGAGGCGCGGGTGACCCATGGCTGGGCGCCGGGACGCGGCAAACTCTGCGTCCTCCAGGCTCCCGGAGCTGCCGGGTCTACACCGCGCCCGCGGTTCCGCCTCCGGGTCGCGCGCCCACGTGATCCCGCAGCCTTGCGGTGCCTGGGCGGGACCAGGGCGGACCCGGGCGGGAGCTGGACAGGACAGGGCGGGCCTGGGCGGGACCACGGTGCATCTGGGCGGGTCGGGAGTCTGGAGGGGAGAGCCAGCGCCGTTAAGTGGGCGGGCCTGGGCTGCACCTAGGTGGCGTCGGGGCCGCTCCAGGGGCAGGACGGGGCGACACCTAGGCGGGGAGCATGGGCGGGGACTAGATGGAACCTAGGCGGGTTGAGGCCGCGGTAGGTCCTCAGCTGGCTAGGGCAGGGCTAGGCGGGCGTCTGGGAGGGATTTAGGCTGCCGGGGGTGGGGTCCAGGCGGGCCGAGGGAGTGGATAGGGGAATACCTGGGTGGGGCGTGGGCGGGGAATATATGGGATCTTGGTGGGTCGGGGCAGGGTGGAACCTAGGCGGGGTCTCTGCGGGCTGGGCGAGGCCTGGGCAGGCCTGGTGGGAACTAGGCGGGCTGGGGGTCAGGGTGATACAGGGCAAGACATGGCGGGCCTGGGCGGGGCCTGGGCAGGTCCTCAGCCTGTTGGGCTGGGCTTGGGTGGGGCCTGGGGGGCTTGGATTGGTTGGGACCGCGGGCTTTAGGAGGGGGTGTTCTGGCAAAGGGGCAGTCCTGGTGGGGAGTCCTCTGGCCTAGAGGAAGCCCAGGGATCCAGGAACCTGCGATCTGAGGAAAGCGCTGTTGGAATCCTGCCTCTTCCGGCAAGTTCCTCCCCTTTCTGCTTCCTTCCCTGCTGAATGAGAATAACAGCAGTCCTTACCTCTTAGGTTGTTGTGAGGACTGAGTGACTAAACACATGGAAAGCGCTTAGAAAATTGCTTGGCCCTTAAGTATATGAGTGTAAAGCATTATTGTCTTGTTAATAGTTCAGAAATATCACTCTGGCTGCCGGGAAATAGCCTGCTGGGGCCCAGCCTGGAAGCCAGGAGATGGCTCCCTCCCAGTGATGGTTGGAAGGTGGGGAGAGATGGTTCCATTGGGGATACATTTTGAAGATGGAGCTACAGGACTTACTGATGAATTGGATGGTGGAGGTGGGAAGGAAACAGAGGCGTCAGAGGTAACCCCTAGGGTTTCAGCCAAAGCAGCTGAAGGAATGTGCCAATATCTGAGATGGGAATCAGGTGTCTTTGAGATGCTAAGTGGGTTGGATGTCAAGAGGAGGTGGGATCAGAGGTGTAAATGTTTTCTGTAGATGTAGATATGGGTGGTGCAAATGGAGGTGCCCTGGTAGCACAGTGGTTAAAGCACTCGGCTGCGAACTGAAAGGTTGGCAGTTTGAACCCACCAGCATCTCCATGGGAGAAAGATGAGGCAGTCTGCTTCTGTGAAGACTTACAGCCTTGGAAAAACCCTGTGGGGCATTCTACTGTGTCTCGCAGAGTCACTATGAGTTAGAATGGACTCCACAACAGTGGGTTTGGTTTTGGTTTGGTGCAAATGGTTAATGGGTTGTTATGGATTGAACTGTGACCCTCAAAATATATGCTGGAATCCCGTTTGGGAATAGGGTTTGCTTTGTTATGTTCATGAGGCCATATCAGCGTAGGGCATGTCCTAAACCTCATCACTTCTGGCAGATTAGACACAGAAGTGAGTATATAGGAGAGAAGATGGATACCACATGAAGATCACCAAGGACCCGAGGAACAGTGGGGCTACAGAAACTGAAAGAGACAAAGATCTTCTCCTAGAGTCAACAGAGAGCCTTCCCTAGAACCAATGCCCGGAAATTGGACTTCTAGCCTCCTGAACTGTGAGAAAATAAATTTATCTTCTATAGTGACTGTATAGGATGAAGTAGAACTGCCCCATAGGGTTTCCAAGGAGCATCTGGTGGATTCAAACTGCTAACCTTTTGGTTGACAGCTGTAGCTCTTAACCACTGCACCATCAGGGCTCCAGTATAGATATACATATGTAGGTATATAAAATAGGTTATGGCATCATGTAGTTCAAAAATAAAGTTTCAAAACACAGTGAAAAGCCCCTGCCCCTGTGCTGTTCTCCACCAGCCAGTAGGATCCCTTTCCTAGAGGCAACCAATGTTACCAGTCCCTTTTTTTTTTTTTTTTGGTGACTTAAAATTGTGGATCATCAAAACAGAGCCATTATAACAGAAGTATACAAATGGAGAAGAGAAGGCAACTTATGACAAAGCCCTGTTCAAGTGTCAGGAAGAGGAGGAGCTCCCCACAATGGCACTTCTGGATTAAATACATTTATTGAAATAAAAAACTCAAAATGCAGAAAGCCTGAGAATTATGTGAGATACTGTCATGGATTGAATTGTGTCCCCCAAAAATATGTGTATCAATTTGGCTGGGCCGTGATTCCCAGTATTGTGTGGTTGTCCTCCATTTTGTGATTGATATAATTTTTCTATGTATTGTAGATCCTAATCTCTGCCAGTGGTTAATGAGGCAAGATTAGATTATGTTGAAGGGGATTAAGGTGAGATGTAACACCCTTGCTCAGGCCACATCCCTGATCCAGTGTAAAGGGAGTTTCCCTGGAGTGTGGCCTGCACCATCTTTTATCTTACAAGACATAAAAGGAAAGGGAAGTGAGCAGAGAGTAGGGACCTCATACTATCAAGAAAGCAGCACCGGGAGCAGAGCATGTCCTTTGGACCTGGGGTCCCTGTGCCTGAGAAGCTCCTCGGCCAGGGGAAGATTGATGACAAGGACTTTCCTCCAGAACCAACAGAGAGAGAAAGCCTTCTCCTGGAGCCAATGCCCTGAATTTGGACTTGTAGCCTACTAGACTGTGAGAGAATAGATTTCTCTTTGTTAAAGCCATCCACTTGTGGTATTTCTGTTATAGCAGCACTAGATAACTAAGGCAGACATTATCAAGAGGAAAAACCTACGAGTGGAGTACCAGAACTTGGCGGGGGTGGGGAGGGGGGCAGATAACAGAAAACACAGAGAATTGTTGAAGATTTGCTGACAGAAAATTTCCCTGATATCGTGAAAGATGAGAAGATATCTATCCAACAAACTCAACAAACCCCACACAAGGTGGATTCCAAAAGAAAGTCACCAAGACATATTATAATCAAACTTGCCAAAACCAAAGACAAAGATAGAATCTTGAGAGTGGCTAGGGATAAACAAAAAATCACCGACAAAGGAGAACCAATAAGACTAAGCTCTGACTACTCAGCAGAAATCATGCAGGCAAAAAGGTAATGGGATGACATATATAAAGCCTTGAAGGAAACAAATTGCCAGGCAAGAATTATATACCCAGCAAAACTGTCTGTCAAATACGATGGTGAAATTAGGGCATTTCCAGATAAACAGAAGTTAAGGGAATTTGTAAAAACCAAACCAAAATTATAGGAAGTATTAAAGGGAGTCCTCTGGTTATATCAGACAAAAACCAAGACTAGAACACAGGACAGAACAACCAGAAATCAACCCAGATAGGGAAGTCACAAAAACAAGTCAAAGCTAAAGGACTGAAAATAGAGAAACAGAAACGTCAATATGTAAACGATAACAACGTCAAAATAAAAAGGAGGAAATAAATAGTGTAGTCATAGAACTTCCATATGGAGAAGAAGTTAAGGCAATATCAACTAGAAAAACAAAGATAGATTTTAAGGTAACCACAAAGGAAGCTAACAAATCTACCCATCAAAATAAAAAAGAAGAAAAACAGAAAGAGTCAGCAAACGGAAAATCAACAATAATGAAAACACATAAAGAAAAACAACTCAGCATGGGAAATTGAGTGGAACAAAGAAACTGTCAACACCCCAAAAATAATACATCAAAATGACGGCAGTAAACTCGTACTTATCAATAATTACACTGAATGTAAATGGACTAAGTGCAGCAATAAAGAGACAGAGAGTGGCAGAATAGATGAAATAAAAAGCTCAATGAATGGTTAAACAGCAAACTAGGCACCACTGGAGACAGAATTAGGGAACTAGAAGACAAATTTGCAGAAATTGCCCAGAATACAGCAAAGAGCCAAGGAAATGATAAATGAGGTGTGAAGAGACACGGAAGATAAAATAAAAGGGTCTAATATAGTCAGGAGCCCTAGTGGCACAGTGGTTAAGAGCTACGGCAGCTAACCAAAAGGTCGGCAGTTCGAATCCACCAGGTGCTCCTTGGAAACCCTATGGGGCAGTTCTACTCCATCCTATAGGGTTGCTATCAGTCAGAATTGACTCAATGGCGACGGGTTTAGTTGGTGAAAGGCTACAACCCTGACGCATACCTGTCCTGACTAAACCACACAGTATCCCCTTGTTCTTTTCAAACGACTACATCTTGATCTATGTACAGGTTCCTCATGAGCATAATTAAGTGTTCTAGAATTCCCATTCTTCACAATGTTATCCATAATTGGTTATGATCCAGACAGTCAAATGCCTACGCATAGTCAATAAAACTTAGGTAAACATCTTTCTGGTATTCTCTGCTTTCAGCCAGAATCCATCTGACACCAGCAATGACGTCCCTGGTTCCACATCCTTTTCTGAATCTGGCTGGAATTTCTGGCAGTTCCTTGTTGATATACTGCTGCAGCTGCTTTTGAATGATCTTCAGCAAAATTTTACTTGTGTATGAGATTAATGATATTGTTCAGTAATTTCCGCATTCACTTGGATCACCTTTCTTGGGAACAGGCATGAATATGGATCTCTTCCAGTTATTTGGCCATGTAGCTGTCTTCCATATTTCTTGGCATAGACTAGCGAGCACTTCTAGTGCTGCATCCATTTGTTAAAGCATCTCAACTGGTATTCTGTCAATTTCTGGAGCCTTCCAATGCCTTCAGTGCAGCTTGGACTTCTTCCTTCAGTACCATTGGTTCCTGATCGTATGCTACCACCTGAAGTGACCGAATGTCAACCAATTCTTTTTGGTATAGTGGCTCTGTGTATTCCTTCCATCTTCTTTTGATGCTTCCCACATCATTTAATATTTTCCCTGTAGAATCTTTCAATATTGCAACTCGAGGCTTGAATTTTTTCTGAGTTCTTTTAGCTTGAGAAATGTTGGACGTGTTCTTCCCTTTTGGTTTTCTAACTCCAGGTCTTTGCACATTTCATTATAATACTTTATCTTCTTGAGCCGCCCTTTGAAATCTTCTCTTCAGCTCTTTTACTTCATCATTTCTTCCTTTTGCTTTAGCTACTTTGTGTTCAAGAACAGGTTTCAGAGTCTCTTCTGACATCCATTTTGGTCTTTTCTTTCCTGTCTTTTTAATGATCTCTTGCTTTCTTCATGTATCATGCCCTTGATGTCATTCCACAACTCGTCTGGTCTTTGGTCATTAGTGTTCAACGTGTCAAATCTTTTCTAGAGAAGATCTTTAAATTCAAGTGGGATATACTTAAGTTCCTACTTTGGCTCTTGTGGACTTGTTCTAATCTTCTTCAGCTTCAACTTGAACTTGCATATGAGCAATTGATGGTCTGTTCCACAGTGGGCCCCTGGCCTTGTTCTAACTGATGACATTGAGCTTTTCCATTGTCTCTTTCCACAGATGTAGTCAATTTGATTCCTGTGTCTTCAGTCTGGTCAGGTCCGCCTGTATAGTTGCCATTTATGTTGGTGAAAAAAGGTATTGCAATGAAGAAGTTGTTGGTCTTGCAAAATTCTATCATGCAATCTCCAGCATCGTTTCTATCACCAAGGCCATATTTTCCAACTACCGACCCTTCTTCTTTGTTTCTGACTTTCACCAGTAATTATCAATGCATCCTGATTGCATGTTCCATCAGTTTCAGATATAGAAGTTGGTAAAAATCTTCAATGTCTTCATCTTTGGCCTTAGTGGTTGGTGCGTAAATTTGAATAATAGTCGTATTAACTGGTCTTCTTTGTATGTGTGTGGATATTATCCTATCACTGACAGCTTTGTACTTCAGGACAGATCTTGAAATGTTTTTTTTTGACAGTGAATACTGTATCATTCCTCTTCATATTGTCATTCCCGGTATAGTAGACCATATGATTGTCTGATTCAGAATGGCCAATACCAGTCACTGATGGCCAATTTCAGCTCACTATTGCCTAGGATATCAATCTTTATGTGGTTCCATTTCATTTTTGACAATTTCCAATTTTCCTAGATTCATACTCGTACATTCCACGTTCTGATTATTACTAGATGTTTGCAGCTGTTTCTTCTCATTTTGAGTCATGCCGCGTCAGCAATGAAGGTCCTGAAATTTTGACTTGATCTGCGTCATTAAGGCCAACTCTCCTCTAAGAAGGCTACTCTTCCCCAGTCATATTTTGAGTGCCTTCCAACCTGAGGGGCTCAACTTCTGACAGTGTATCAGACAGTGTTCTACTGCTACTCATAAGGTTTTCACTGGCCAATTCCTTTCAGAAGTAGACTGTCGGGTCCTTCTTCCTAGTCTGTCTTAGTCTGAAGCTCAGCTGAAACCTGTCTGCTGTAGGTGACCCTGCTGGTATTTGAATACCAGTGGCATAGCTTCTAGCATCACAGCAACACGCAAGCCCCCACAGTACAACAAACTGACGGATGCATGGCGGGATGCATGGGGGGTTAGCGGGCATGAAAACAACATTAATCTCCTTGTACACCTCTATCAGAGCTCTCGGGTGACCAGGTGCATTGCCAGTGAG